CCCCCCCCGTTTTGTGTTTAACATATGTTTGTTTCATTTCTCCATTTTGCTAGAGATCCACTGAGAATGGGAAAACTGTTTCCCAAAAGTTAACTCTGGAAAATTGTTAATAAAATTATTAAAACTTAGTGGAGATTATTTCCTTTACAATACCATGGATTACCACAAGATATCCGCTACCACCACGGAATTCATTGTTTTAACACTTTATAGGCTACACTTGTGTTCCGAACATCATGCTATAACATATTCACATATCTACCCTAAGATTCTTGATGGGCTTGTCTCACTAATGATTTAACTTTATTCCTTTTTTAGTAGTAGATCTGTTTAGTCTGCTCATTTCCGCTTTGAAGATAATATAAGTATGCTACCTTTTTTCCTGCACTGACTCTGCAACCCTTTCATTCCATATTTTCAATGGTTTTCTTCTTTTTTTGATGTAGCAAAGGACGCTTAATAAGGCGTAGGTCTCATTTTCGCTAGACGTTAAAAATAATATGAGAAAATATATGCTCTTGTAGCACCTGTAGCTTGATGAAAGTTCCAGTAAAACACTGAATATCCCAAACTTGGCCAGTGAGGAATATTTCTTTTTCAACTGAGTTCTTCTATTTTAGAAGATAAATTGGATAAATAAAAAACATTTTGTTTAAAGTAAAATACGTTTTTAATAAATATTAGCATGATTTCATCACAATAGAATGCAAACTCAAAATATTTCGAAAATGGTCCCTTTGATTATAATTATTCACAATGAAAAACATTCAACGGACTTTGATCAAGCGTATTTGGGTACTGAACGGAAATTTAAGATCTCTTTCTCACCTTACTGTGGTCAGCTTCTCCTTGGTGAATGTGGCTTTGATAAGTATTTTCAACTCTATCTTGGTACTTCAATCCGCTAGCTTATTTTCTCTGCGGACGCCTAGAAGCTTTGGCCTATGTAGAAAAAATAAACATTATCGATAAGGTGTCGTCTCGTGGTTTTATTGCTTACGAGGAAATACGTCGAAATGCTGCGATGGAAGAAGCAACTCTTCCTCTCTTCTAAGGCAAGCACAGCTGTGCACTGTCCAGAAAGGAAAACGCTAGAACGTTCCTGGGCACTCGCCAAGTGCACCGAAACTTTGTTTGGCGTGTCTCTTGCCTTCTTAACTTATTGTCGCCATTTTGTGCTTTTCTCTCCCTGCGTTCAAAGCTTACACGGGTGAACAAGCGAGGGATAATATTCATAGGAGAACTGAGAAACCTTATTATAGCAGGGATGTTATCGTTGTAAAATAAATCAGAAGAAGCGAAGACAGGCAATCTTCTTTTTTATGATCCTCAGTCCGTAGCATTTTTGTCCATACACGAAATGATAGGTTTTGAAGGATTGGAGACGTCGATGATACTATAATTTGAATGATGATGGAGCAATGGTGGGATGAGAGGCACCGAACAACACCGAAAAAAAAACAGTAGAGAACCCGCGCGGATCGATCGACTGGGATTTGAACCCCCCTACCCAGATGTGAAAATTGAGCGGTCTGACCCCTAACCCCCCTCCAAAGTACAGACATCGCAAAATGCCCTATTCGGAATTGGACCTAAAATTGTGTAACAGTAAACCCCAACTGTCTTTGAAATTTGAAATCTTTCCGCGCGCATTGTACGATGATTTACAAACGCATTTAGCCTCCAGTATATAACGTCTGAGGCTTGTAAATGTAGTTATTAGTGTTGTCTGAATGCATTTTATTTTTATTAGATGCTTGCCATGTAAAATCAACACTCGGGTATTTTTTTTTCTGTAATAAATACGAATTGTAAAGTATATGTGGAAATATTTTGTACGGTATTGTTATGAAACCTTTGGGGAGAATGTTCATTGAGATACGTATTTTAAGGGGTTTTACAAGTCTGTTCTATTTCATTTGTAACACACTTGTCTAGTAAAGTTACGGTACTTTTAATAAAGTGTTTTAATTGGATTTTCAATTCAACATGCTTGATTGCAGGGGAATGTGCTGTTTCCTTTTCTATTAAAATTTCCTACTATATTCTTCCACTCATGGCTGATGAAGTCAATGCTTTGTAATAATTAAAATCACAATATTGTCGATTTTAGATGAATATCCACATTCCAGTTCTAATTGATTCAAACACCATTTAATCATCAAATTAATGGGTATTTTAAAAGTGTTGTAAATGCATTTATAAAGCAGTATTATTGATTGTAAAAGAATGTTGGCTGGGAAAATTTGTTTTTTTTTAGGTATCTTTAAAACAAAATGTACTGAATAAAGTTCCATTTCTTTTGCCTTGATATTATTAGGAACTTTACGTTTGATGTTGGCGTCCCACTGACTAAAATTCTTCTACAAAAGCTAATCCGGTAGATTTTTTGAAAAAAATTGTCAATGATCAAGTTACTTTGTGAACCACAATCATTTTGAACTCATTTCAGAGTAATATTTGTCGGATCATTCTGTAGGAATTTATTCACAGGTTTACCTTGCCATTTTTTGTTTCAATGTCATAACTTGATGAGTATATATAGACATATGTTTACTCTCTTGTATAATACTTACGGAGTAAAGAATAAGTATTGAAAAGCTGCGGAAAAAAAGAAATATTTCCAAAGAAATCCATTTTGTTGGGTCCTAAAACATGAAAAGTGAATACATTTTGTTCTAGTACTTCCTCTAACACATTATGTTGTCAGAAAACACGTAGCGAGTCCTTGATACCGAAAAATTGATTTACGCCAAAATATCTTTCCATGTCCGTCCCTCCACTCATAAGTTCGTCATTTCGTTTGTCCGTCGGTCTGTGAACAACGGCACGTTTTACGCAAGATTTTCACCAAAATTGTTATTTCTCCATAAATCTGGATGGTGTCGCTGCCTCTTTAGTTTGAAAAGGGGATTTTGATTTCTGAAAGTTTTACATAAAGCCTTAACAACACTCAAAAGTTTTCTGAAAAGTGGCTGCAATTTTTTTGATTAGATAATTTCTCATATAGAACACAAAAGTCTTATAACAATATCGCAAGTCTCATTTTTGAATTACTTAATATTACTACATTTACTGAATTTTCGAAAGGTACAATATTTTTTCGGCATCATTCTTCAACTACAATAATGAAGATACAGAGTTTTCTTAATGCAATTTGTTATACAAAATTGGATCTTTAAATTATGTCATCTTTCTTTTATCTACGTAGTTATTGCATGAGGTATATATATTTTAATTTTGTCAAAAACGATTCCAAAATTGCTCGTCAATTTTTTGTTAAGTGTCACAGGTCACTTTTTTTATAAACCCTCAATATTTTCTAAAATTGCGAAAAATCAACATAGGAAATCAGCAATATTGATGATGGAGTTTTTTACTCAAAAAATTTGTTCTATAAAATTAGATCTTTAAATAAGGTCATGTACATTTTTTTTATCCACGTGAGTAGTCTCACGCAATTTTCGCAATTCTTCGAATTTGCAAACTTTAATTTCCCGTACTTCAGTTGCTGAAACCTTTCAGGAGTTAGCACGTTGCAATACAATAATTTCAAAGTCGCGACACGGCAGATTGAAATTACCAGAATAACTTCCCTTTGTTGGGCGGTGTTTTTACGTGTAAGGAACGAAGTTTTGGGCGGTTTTGGAAGCTTTGAATTTGTGTTGATGTATTAGCGTGAATTAATTAAGTTTTCCGCCTAATGCGTTATGATTGTTAACATGTTTTCAACTGATGGCTGGGATGTCTTAATAGGAACAGAAACTGCTGTATTATAATTTCACCAACTGTTACTAATGCGAGAAAGTGCGTGCTGTTAAAGAATTACTAGCTTCCCATTTCTTGCCATCGTGCGATATTTCCTTGTCCTATCCTTACCCCTTTGTTACACACACTTAAATTTGCATGCACTACATTACGACACTTCCCGAGAGATCAGTTGTGAGCTTATAGCTTGTCGGGTCTCAGGCGGTGACCCGCTAGTGAGAGATATCTGGTAGAGAAAAACCCCGTTATCCAATGTGAAGATCGGTGCCAGATCTCGCGAGGGAAGATTACAGTCACCTACCGAAGAGAAAAATGCACTACGCTTACGAGAATAACGGCTTTCTGAGCTGATGCGCCCGGAATCAATGAAAAGCCATATTTTGGTTTGCATTGACCGAAGTTACAATGCCCCTGTAAAATCTACAAGTCTCAAGGAATGCTTCAGAAGCATTAACATTTTTGCAATTGCTAGTAAAAAGTGTCCACACTCAGTTTATTGTTGCTATTTGTCATTTGTAGTTTGAATTTTCTGTTCTCTGGTGGTTAACACGAATTAACCGCATTATACTTCCAAATCTGTTTATTGCTGCGGAAACTCGCTAGTATGATTTGGAGCATGACTCCCGAAAGAAATCCCAAACAAGGGCAAGCCCATTTTACTCCATTCCTGAGTATAATTATATCCCCAAACATGATTTTCCTCGCGCCAAATTTTGTTCGTCGGTAAGAAAGCCCAATACGCTTCTTGATAGGTTCTTCTCTGATTTCATTAACTATATTGAGGCTCATCAGCATAAAAGCACGATCGGATTTTTGTGTCAGTGATCTTTAAAACAAGTTCTATCGTCAAAGTCGCGACGTGATTTTTCGCATCACTACAATAACTTCCTCTACACTACATATTCGAGAAGGTAAAAAAAGTGTTAAATATGCTTTGAGTCCATAGGCTGCTGTACTTTCGTTATATGCGACCACCAAAGCGTGTTCTTTGTTCAGGCACTGTATTGAGCGTTTACGCTTAATGGTAAAAATGTAAGGATGAATTTTTGTATGAACATAAAACAACTTATTATTAAACATATTTCCGGGAGTTCGAAAGGTTATTACTATTGTTTGACTATTGTATTTGACGCTTCTTCACCAAATATACTGTTTTCCACATAGATTTCTGTCTGCTCTTCTTGCAGGTGTTCTCCCATGCTAAAGTGTACTTCAGCGTGAGCGGTCGCCAGTACTCGCCGGAGCCAGTGTTCTTTTCGTACATGGCGGACCTGGCCCTGGAGCACGCGCGCAACGTCACCATCAAGCTGCACGGGCGCGTGGGCCGCTTCGTCAAGCTGCAGCTGCACTTCGCCGCCCGCTGGATCCTGCTCAGCGAGGTCGCCTTCGACTCGGGTGAGTGCATTCGGCTGCCCGACTATTGATTTGTTTTCTAGGGTTCTTATCCAGCCGACGGCCGGTTACCCTTTACGTCCCGACGGTTGGTACACTCGCCATGCACTAGACTCCAACACACTTGCGGGATCGTCTGATCTGGGGTCTCCATCTGGCCCTCCGCGACAACACACACACACATGGGAGACAAGGGACAAATAACTATGCTCAAGGCGGGACTTGAACCCGCGACGTGTCGGGACGAAGCGCTTAGCCGGTACACGTTCTTAACCGCTTCGACCATCCAGGTCGGCCAACTATTGATATACTGAGTGATAAAAGGCCGTAAAAGCAGAGCTTCCCTGGAGGGGCGTACGGCAAGCGTCCCTTTTCAACTGACTTCTCGCTGCCGAAAAGGAGTTAGGGTGCGAATTGATAGTGGGTCCAGGGGGGAATAATCCCTCTGGGCAGTTGGATGCCTCTGCTGGAGAAATAATAATATATTTTCCCAGGGATACAATTAATCCATATTAGGTGCTGTATTGATGATTTTTATTTCCTGAATTGTTGGAATGAGGGAATTCAAATGACAGAAATTGAGTATGTAAACATTCTCGAGAGCATTATTAGGATTCATTCAAAATACAAATTACAATTTGTATGTTGCGCAAGCAAAGATGGTATTATTTTCACTATCCGTACTTCTATCGTTCCCTTCTGAAGTTTAGAATGTCTGTCTCTGGAGAAAATTGCAATTCGCATTCTGGTTAGCCAGTAGTAGAGGCATGAACTTGAAAATATTGAAGGGCAGGGGTGGCGCTGTTGTAGTATGTCTCCGATTCTACCTTATTTCTTAGGGGTTGGTTTTGAGTTTTAAAAAGCAGAGCCCTTGCCATCATCTTCACAGTCTTGTGCTTTTTCACGTAGTATTTGAGGTTTTCACCAAGTGACTAAACTGTATTTATTGTAGAATTTACAGCATTTGTCTCTCAAATACCTTAAGCAGTATTAGATCCTGAGAGTACCACGGAAGTCACCGCTGAGGTAGGAACGAGGATCATCCCAATATTTTATTGGCAAATGGGGTATATTGGAAGTAGCTCCTCGGTTCCTTCTCCGTTGAAGTGTCTCGTCTCCAGATATTTGGTGTTGGTGGTCATGGAGCTTATTTCCGTTTTTGGTCACAACCACGGTTCTTTTCTGTGGCAGAATCCAAACACAAATTCTTTGACAGATTGCATGCGTTGTCGAAGAGAAAATCCTATATTTTTAAATGTAGCAAACAGACCAATCCGCGGCTTGGAATACACTGATTTCCCAATTTGTTGTGTGATGTCATCTGCCTTTGTAGAACGCGCGAATATGTTAAATTTTCACTTACTGGGGTTTAATTTCATTTTATTTCTGGTAGCCCATGATTCTGGTCTATCTAAATCAGCCTGCAATATTTCTCTATCACTTGCATTCTTAATTTCCTGATAAATTATAGAAAAAAATCATCTGCAAAAAGACAGTCAATTCCCTGCCAAATATCATTAATATACGCTTTAAAAAACAATGAGCCTTGGACACTTCCCTGTGGCACTCCGCACGTTACATCTGCCCTCGAAGAGAAATTTGACCCAATTGTCACGCGTTAAGTACGCGAGCTGAGAAATTCTCGATCCAGAGAGCAATTCTTCACTCTATGTTAAACTCACAAATTATTTGGATTAATTTGTCATGAGGAACGAGGTCGAACGCTTTGGTGAAATCTATAATAATTACGTGAGCGATGCAACCTTCATCGAGAGAATCGGCAATGTCCTGACTGGCAGTGACCACCTCACTCTCACACATATACTTTTCTGAAACCTTGTTGCACTTGTTAAATTATATTGTTCTTATCCCAAATTACGCATAAGTATTCTGCCACCAAATGTTCCATTTGCTTAATCACAACAGACATAAGTCCTTCTGACCGATAATTTTCGTCATTTTGACGGGAACCCTTTGAATGTTGGGACCGCTGTAGCATCTCTCCTATCCCTAGGAATATTAATGACTTGTTCATTAATATCTCGAAAAGCCTCAGTTGATACGATAACGTAACTTCCCATTCAATTTGAAAATTTCCCCCGAAATTTTATCTGGACCTGTTGATTTATTATTACCTATTTTGGTAATTAGAAGCGTAATTTGCTTTAGAACATTTAATTTAGAATCTCAAGTATTTTGTCACGGTAGCTTCCGAACACCTGTATATCATCTTAATCTATTTAATTAACCCACAACAATTATACTGTTTTCCAAATGTTTCGTTTAAAATATTATATTTTATTTAATTGTTAAAGTTGTTTTTTTGGGGGGGGGGACCTTCCCAAATTTTATTGGGGGAACCAAGGGATCTGGGCTCCATAGATTGTCAGTAAGCGAGTGGGTGTGAGAACGATTGAAGTTACATAACGGTCAATTGGTGTTGCACACTGGCTCCCGGCGCATGTGACGCAATCATGCTCCATCCATCCATCAACTGTCACCTATACCGGGCGCGTGGCGACAACGCGTTGAACAAAGCTGTCTGACCAGCGATAGTCGTTGGTTTGGAAAGGGTACACAGCTCTCTATCGAAATATTAGCGCATGAGCTGTGGGATGTTTTTGGCCGTCAGTTCGACTATAGACGCATTTCTGCAAGTCAGTTCATGATTGTTCCACTCCATTTAATATTAATATAACGAATTTCTTGTTTTATAATGTAAGGAAGTATAAATATATGTCTGTAAACATATTTTAACCTTTATTTTTGTTACGTCAAAGCGCTTTTATTGAAGCGAAGGTGGAACATTTGTGATGAAGACGATAGTTAACAACAAAGTAAAGAGCACTGTCTGGGTCCGGACTTTCCGTTATATCCCTTTAACGCGATATCTTTGTTCTAAGCTGCACGAGAGGGCGGAGGGATTATGCAAAATTTCAGGCCGTTGGATCACACATGGGGTGTGCTTTAGAAAGCTTGCCGTGCTGGCTACCTACGTAGTTTACACCCATAGCCGGTAGGTCACGACCGGCATTACCAAGCAACATAAGCACGAGGCGATTCTTGTAAGAAGCGGCGAAATATCTTGTGATCGTTTGGGAATGACTATGGAAAATATTATCGGGTGGTTGAGTAATTTTTACTGCACAAATAGAACAGATATACGGGAAATGAGATGAGCTAGGTGCAGTTTAAGGATAACTTTTAACACTTGTGTGGGTTGAAACTCGGGAGTACTTTTTCAACAAAGGGCTAAAACATAACATGCTGGGTAAATGGAACTTGTATACTGCGTGTATTATTTGTATTGCATTTATTTATATTATTATATTATTTGATTTATATTTTAGGTGTAATTAGGTGAGGGAAGTGAGTCGAGAAAAGCAGTGTCTGTATTTTGATATAAAATGCTTTAGAAATTTCGCGTTGGCTGCACACAATATTTTGTGTTAATTGCGTCAGCCGTAGACAAGTCGGGTTTACCGCTCTTTCCAATGTAGCAAGCATCATTGTCCATATCCTTGAAGGTGATGTACAAAAATAGATTTCATCCTGCGTAGGAAGCATCATAATATACTCCGGTCCTAGTGATTTCACGTTAAATGTTTAAGAAGGCTTTTAGCTTAAATTTAATTCACGACTCAAAATTAGAACAAATTAAAGATTATAAATAGTTAATTAGATGTAGTCTCGCATTTTTTAACATCGGAATAACATTTATACACGTTCGGCTGAGCCTGCCCGAGAGGAGCTCGTAAACGTAATGCGAAATGCTTGACGAATATTTCAAGTTGTTATCTTACCCATGCCTAGATTATTTTACGAGATATCTAGATATATTTAAATATCATGTGAAGACATATTTATACCAATCCACGATATTTCCAAATGCCATCAAAATTCGAGCTTCTACTTTAAGCAAGTACTTTGGTCAAGCTCTAAATATTTATTCGTATCTGTCTTTATATTTTGATTTGTGTGCTTAGAATTGGCATATCTAGCTTGATGTATTCGAATATCTAACTGTTACGTAAAAAATCTCCAGTAAAAAGTTAGCAAATGTAATAAGGAGCGTTCTTTCAAACAAAGTGATGATCCTTTAACTAATAATAATACACAAGACCACTTACTGAAACTTTCTGTGGTTCGCGCATGGTTTTTAGTTGCGATTTTATTACACTCTTGTCATTACATTGACTACACCGATGAGAAACGAATTTGGGGAGAGCGCAGGCAGTGTTGAATACGTGGAAATGCTTCACGTTTATTTCACATATGTTGACTACCGTTTTGGAGCCGTTTTACTCCCTATTATTCCTGTCATTTCACCAACTGAAGAATTTGTGAATATCAATATATTTATGCCGCTAGATAGCATGAAAAGCTCATGTCTAAACTTCCTTTGTACGAAATAATATTTATATGCATATTTATGTGATATAATTTCTATTATTGCAAGTTTAATCATGATGAAAGGAAACAACGCGGTCTCTTCGAAATTCGGTATTTATCACCTGCCCGTGTCCCTTTGATGACAATTTAAACACAATCATTTTCACATCACTTTTTCGACATAATTTGTATAAATTTTTCAAAATATTTTGAGAGACGATATCGGAACAATGTAAATCACTAGAGCAAACTATTATGATAAAGAAAGGATGTTTTCTGGTGTCAATATTTTTATTAGGCTTATATCGTTTCGATCGCGTAGCGTTTATCTTCAGTGCTTGCAGCTTCCGGGCCGGTTCACCAGCGATCTAGTTAATGACAACTATTCCTATCCCCCAACTGTGCACACTGAAAACAAAAATAGCTGGTGCTCCATCCCATATGACTGCCGGAAAAAAATCGCAGAGCGTTTCCGGCTATACTGAAGAGTTTTGGAATCTGTCAAAAAATCGTCTACTGATGGACGACACATTCATCTCGAGACATTCGAAAACTCCCTCCAAGTATGCATCACACATTTTCGTGAAGAGAAAGGTATCCCCACTGCAGTGGTGATATGTTGTCCTCTCTTTTCGGGACCTTATCACTATTTGATTCCTAATGCGTCATGGAAACAGCTGCTACTCAGATCATTAGTGTCGTAAGTGTAGTGCATGTTGTATCCCGGGAGGTAGCTGCGTTACTCTTCCAATGAAATGAGGGATCCGTCGCTGACGCACACGACTGCTTTATGTGTCTTACTCCTTCCAGGTATCTCCCCCAGCGGTACATCATCTCAGCCCGGTCCAACACTAAGTTTCCGATTTGTCTTCTGACGGTATTTTTATGTATAGGAGGGGCAAGGATGAAGAATAAAAGTTTGCGCGAGGCCCATTACCCGTTTGTTAAGTTACTGCTGAAGCATTCGACTGGTATGTAGCGTAAAATGAAGGGAAATCAACTAATCAGAGCAGCCGACCGCTAGAATTCTCATCCAGATCATGATTGAAAGTGCCCAGTTATGTACCTAGTGTCGACAATTTGCCACCGCCAGGACTCAATCGCTAGAATTTCT